CTGGAGGCTCTATGAGAAAGCGTGCTAAGTTATCAACGCCAGTGTTCTGAGAGGAATGGATAGAAATAGAGATGAGAAAAGTTCTGCTGGGAAGAACTCCAAAAGCCAACAGATGGAAGGGAAATCAGAAGAGGGCCCAGGATGGACGATTCTGCGTGATGATTTTATGATGGAAGCATCTATGAAAGACTGGGACAAGGAAAGTGATGGGCCAGACAGCAGCAGAGCAGGAGCTGCTAGTGACTCGGACACATGGAGCAATATCGGAAACAGTTTGCAATCGTTTTGTTTTTCCTAAAAACAATTACTTCATCGTATAATAGTTGGGGAACTTTATAAAGGATACATTTTTAAGAAAACAAAAAGACAACTTTTACCAATTTTGGTGTTTTTCCTTTTCATATAAACTTCTATACAAATTATATTTTCAATCCCTGTATAATTTTAAGCATTGTTTCCCAAAATATTTGTAAAAGGAACTATTTCTGCTTGTCTAGAGAGAGATATATTTTGCCAGGCTCGTTACATGTTTACATATTGGTTGTGTTTCTTTGTGTGTTGTTTCAGTATTGCCAATGTTTCTAGAAATGCAGTTCCCAATTTATAATTAAAATGAACTCTTTGAAGTTAATATTTATTTACCTTCCAATCTATAGATCTATATATCTGTAGTTTTGGGGAATGATTGGTGTTTGTTTTGATAAGCTATTGACAAAGACTATAGTAACATTTTAAATTATGTTTCTGATTTTAGATGATGGTTTTAACTTTAAATAATCTGGCAGAGGTGACTTAAGAAAGTGTTAGGGTTTTTTTTTTCGCATAAGAGATTTACTAAAGTGGAAATTTTCATGTTTAACTTACATATTGAGTTGTAATATTTGAGAAGCATATTCAGAATGTTTTAACCTCTCTCTCTTTTGCCCCAAATAGTTGAGTTAGCTTAAATTCTCTTATGGATTGGACAACTAATGATTGAATTAGGCCACGAGTAATCTGCGTGTGACTATTGCATCTGATTTGAGACTCGATTCCATATTGCTGACCTAAAGATTATTAAATTGTTAACTTTTAGTATCTTGTGATTAAACACAGAAAGTAAAACTTTTTACTTTCACTCCAAACTTTTTGTAAAATTGGGCCTCATATCTAAAGTGTTTCAGAGAATTATTTAATAAATGTGATCTGTTTTTTTTTGAAAAGGTTCCAATTCTTTATCCATCTTTCCGTAATAAAAATAGTTTCCTCCAAAAAATAAAAAACAAAAAACGTTTGAACACAGAGCATTCAAGGATAGTAAGGAATTGCTGTTCTTTTTTTAAGTTTGTTAGTGAGATTGTAGTTAATTATTTTTAAAATATGTTCTTATCTTTTAGAAGTATGTTCTAAATTTTATGTAGTTGGGAATTTTTTATGCTAAAAATATTTTTCAAAAGGTATTTTTGAAATCTCTGACAATATATACATTTCCACAAGCGTTAAGAAAACTTTTTCCTTCTTTCAGGCAAAAAACAGAGCCATTCACTACCTGCATTACATAGAACGCTATGAAGACCACACAAGTGAGTGCTGTTTTGCTTCTCAGGTACACAGCGTTGCACTGGTTCACGTGTGGGTGGCGGTGTAGCCCTGGGCGTCTTTGTGTTTTATTACTATATTCTCACACGTATGTAAAATGTTTGCCATTTATCTCTCATCAGCATGTGCTAGCTACTTAGTGTAGTATGTAGTTTTGTGATATTTGCAGGGCCATTAAAGACACACACCTAATTATTCTTGTGTTTATTTATTTATTTTTTGGAGAGGTTTTCGCTATAGGGCGCGTACGCTCGCCAGACAGACAGAGAGAGACAGAGAGACAGAAAGCGAGAAATCACCCCCCGGGGGGGATGGTCACGCCGCAATCCCTTCTCCTCCATTCTCCTCTCGGGATCTTGGGCACGCACGCACATGCGCCCGGCGTGAGTTTTAAGCCACCGGGTACAGGACGTGAACCGCGGTCGACTATGTGGGAGTCCAGCGACATAGCCATTACGCTAACTGTTGTGTTTGTTTTTACTCACCAGTATTCCATGATATTTCTCTAAGATTTAAAAGGACACATATCAGGATGAAGAAACAACCCAGAGGTAACTAAAAATCTCTTCCCATTGGTTGAAATAAAGTAGAGAAGTTTTTTTTTTTTGAGCTTTTTGCTGTAGGGCGGGTGCACTCGCCAGAAAGATAGAGAGAGACAGAGAGACAGCGAGAAATCACCCCCAGGGGGGATGGCCACGCTACAATCCCTTCTCTTCCATTCTCCTCTCGGGATCTTGGGCACGCACACATACGTGCCTGGCATTAGTTTAAGCCACTGGGACTTGAACCACGGTTGGCTACATGGGAGTCCAGCGACATAGACATCACTCCAACTGCTGGTCCCAAAGTAGAGAAGTTTTAACAATTCCATCCTCTTCTCCATTTTGCTCATGTTGATTAAACTCATCTTGGATACTCCAAAAGGGGAGGGTATGAGTTGACTTCGGAAGGATGGAGCTCTTGAGGATATAAAAGATGGCCCCACAGGCTCCCATGAGCACTTCTAGGTGGGACGAACACATCGTCAGC